TCGGGTTCGGGTTGACCCAAACCCGAAATTTTTGGGTCGGGTTTTCGGGTCGGGTCAAATGTTGACAGCTCTATGTGAACCTGACCCGCCTGTGCTGCACGGGGTTCAAACCCCGCCTACTTCAAACCATCATCTATCTAATGGGCTGTGATGCATACAATGTCAATTCAACTGCGCTTTTTTATAACAGACTTAATTGCAAAGCCTGAACCTTCCACCACATATCTTCTATCTCTCATGGCCATGAATGCAAGGATTGTCGGCAACGGAGAAATAACCTTAGTACTCTCACATGGCTTTGGCACAAGCCAGGAAATTTGGGAATATGTGATTCCAGAGCTCTCTAGAAGATACAAACTCTTGCTCTTCGATTGGAGCTTCTCCTCTGCAGCAGACTCACAGCCAGCAGCCACAGATATCTCCTATGCAGGCTTGGCTAATGACCTCATATCTCTCCTTGATGAGATGAAGATGAAGGGAGTTGTCTTCATCGGCCACTCGTTGGCCGGCATGGTAGGCTGCCTCGCCTCCGTCCACCGACCGGAGCTCTTCAGCTATCTTGTCCTTGTTGCTGCCTCCCCAAGGTTAGTTTTTCTTCACTCATATGGATGAATAAATATCAGTAAATTACATGTTTCAGCATACTTAGATATCATAAAATATCAATATATCATAACTTCTTTCATTCATTTTAGTTCTTCAGTCTCTTTTTCTTCCTTTGAACACCAAAACAGATGGATCTATTCAAAATTAAAATCATGATTATAATAACAATCATATTTGTGATTAGGAATTAAGGATGAGAAATATTACTCTTAAGAAACATTATATAAAAAATTATTTCATATGATAATTTGATTAGTTGGATGATTAAAAATCTTATCAAGGAAAAATGCATGATTTTTAACCATTTAATGTAAATTTATCTACCATAATTAGTCATGAAAATCACTAATATTTGGAGAACAAAAATATGTTAGGAGCACCTCACACCAAAATTCTGATATATTAGAAGTTCATGCATGGTATTTTATAAAAATTACAAGAAAATTGTATAGAAATTATAAATTATTTTGCAATATAATCAAAGTGATTATTTATAAAATAAAATTTAATTGTATTGTAATTTTACAAAATTCTTGTACTTTGTTGAAATTTTATGTGGATAGCTCCCAATACAAAAATTTTCAATTTCAAGTAAAAAGATAAAAGATGACATCTCTCAAACTAAAGGACAGATGAAAAAAGAAAAAACTTTGGGAATATCATCAATCTGGGAATATAAAATATGTGAACTAAAATTACCAGACATTTTTTATTCAGTTGCCAAACAACTCATATGAAAAGATTATAAAAATTATTATAAAAAAATAAAATAGTTCCTTATAGAACAAAGAAAAGAACCAAAAAAAAGAGTAGATCACATCAAAATGTGAAAATATTTTAAGTAGTTTCATTTTTGTATTATTGAACAACTCTGCCGACCCAATGCATCGGTTTTGTTTTACTTACCTGATAGCAAGAATTGTTCAAACCTGTTGTACCTTATTATTATCTGGAATACTCAAGTTTAATGATCTCAAGGGCAAATACAGTTCAAAGAATCCAAAATTCATAATGCTTTAGTATTATTGGGATTTTAAAAATCTCAATTTGATCGAGATGAAAAATATGCATTAAAAAAAATCAAATAAGTGATTGATTTAGTTGGGAAAGATCAAATCAAAAGCCAAATAACAACATTTTGGCCGAGTCATGCGGGATTGCGGGGCGAGGGCTGGCGGCCTGGCGGGGTGGAGCACTAGAGCAAGTCGAGTTGCGAAGCAGAACACGGAGGTCAGACTATCGGAGGGCTTACGCGGACGTGACTCGCGGGTCAAATCTAGATTGATTTTGGGTTGTCGGATCAACTCGAACCTGACCCGATTTTTTAAACGGGTCGGAATCTTAAACTGAAAACCGACCCGTATGGTAAATGGGTTGACTCGAATCTAGAATTTTTCGGGTCGGGTTCGGGTCAAGTTTCGGATCGTGTAAGATTTTGACACCGCTAATTATTATGCAAACAAGCACACTAATTTGGTGAGAGCTTTGACTATTCTTATGATGTTTTGAAGTATTTGAATGAGTGCTTCAAGATATCATAATTGTACATTCTATTATTTAGTAGCACTTCTTATGCAATGTTTTACAACTATTTTAAATATTTTTTGTGTATGATACCTTAAAAAGATTTGTTTTTTCTCCTTTTTTTTCCCTTCAGGTATATGAACTCTGAAGAATATCAAGGTGGATTTGAACCATCAAAAATACAGGACATGTTAAGCAGCATAGAAGCAGATTTCCAATCCTGGGCTGATAGTTTCGCCACTTTAGTTCTTGGAAAAAATTATTCTAACCCATTGTGGAAATATTTGGCCACTTTGAAAGCCATGAATCCAAAAACTGCTTTAGCTGTAGCAAAAATGGCCTTTCTGGGTGATCAGAGGCCTCTTCTGGAGCAGGTGGA